TCACTTGTTGCGCGGATGCCAGCATAATCTCCGCTTTTCGGAGTTTTGCTGGCTTAGCCATTGTGGTTCACTGAAGTCCCGACGTCAACATGGCGAAAGTCTGCCTCAGATCGTCATCACTACAGGCAGTCGCAGCCCTTGTGGATCAGAGGAAGCTTTGCCACCGTGCGACTTTGATACCAGGACGGTAGTGGATCCTGGTAGTGGTTTACTCTTAGCTAGGCTTCCTAATGGAAACCCCAGAGACCTTCATTGCTTGGAAGACCCTACCGGGGACGAATCTCCCCATTGTAAATCGCAGTCCGACGCCCAAGAACTCCTCCTAGCCACGATGAGGCGGTAAACCGTTGGGAGATTATTGTAACTTCGGTTTCCATAAAGTACTTTTTCAATGTAGAAGGCAAGAGTGCCGCAGTGAAATGCCACATGTATTCGCCAGTCAAAGGATTTGCTAGCCTACTGGCTCGGTATTTCCAAAATCCTTCAAAATCTTCCTGGGTCGGCTACGTAAAGCGCGTCCTACAGCGCACACGTTATGGAGTCCTACGACGTTATGGAGTCCTACGACGTTACCGCGCTTTATAGCAACGTGTCGAATGACTCCGCAATACAAGCCATCTGCGAACTTGTTATGCAACAAAAAAAGCAATAAACATGTATGGCTCCGCAATTCAGCAACTCTTGGCCCTTTTAATGGAGTGCCTGAACCGCTCAATCGTTGGATGATAGGGAAAGCATTTCGCAAAAATGGAAGTGTTGGAAATGGAACACTGACTGGCACAAAGCTATTGTTATTGTTTTTATGTCTAAGGTGAAGACACCAATAGTCGATTTACGGCCACTGCTCTACTGTAGGTATAGAGATGATTAACATGTACCAAAAGAATACCTTAGTGAACCGACTTTCACCTAACCTTGGCATGATTTGCTTAAATGGTTCAGATAATGTGAGGTTGTCATGTAATCTTTAAGGACTCAAGTGGAAGAGGATAAACGACTGAGGACCATCGAGCTGTATTAACGGCTCTGAAGAGGATAAAGACGTTGAAACGTTAGCCGAATATAGATTATTTGACAGCCTCGCAATCTAAAAAGTATACTGATTAATCATGGCAAGCTTAAGTCATGGTCGCTTCAGTAAAGTATTGCTTTCCTACGTGGTACTTATTCTAATACTGACTGGTACAGAATGAACTGTCGAAATAAAAAGATATCATTATCAATCGACAATCAGTCAACAGCCGTCATGCCTTCACGTACAAAAAGAGCGCTTGTGCGAAAGATGTTTCGAACAGCCACCAGTGTATGCGTTAGGAAGAGAGCATAGGAAGGAGTCCTTGAAATTGGCGCCGCGAATAGCTATTTTCAAAGGCTACGAAACAACTGCTCCTCAGGATAGGTGTAGAGGCGAAATCACGCCCCAAACCTTAGCGACAACAAGGATCCACAATTCAAAAAATCCAAAAATGAACCGCAAAGACCCTGTCTTTTGTAGTCATCTAGGAAAACGGTGAATCATTGTTCGCAAATCCTTCGCAGAGTCGAATCATTGAGTATGCTCGAGTATAATAAGACTTTTAACGACTTTGTGTAAGCTCGACTTTGTGTAAAATAAGTGATTCGTTATCTACGACAGCTAATATTAATTCGAATGCTGCAACATGGACTGTTACCATAAAAGAACTGCTGGGAGAGGTCAGATCACTCCAGTCCTGTATGAAACCGTAGCGCTAGGCTACACTAATCCGTTCGTGCGGTGCAACACTCTACTCGATTCGATTCAGTGCACCCGGGTACAGAGGTCAACATTGTAAGAAGAAACTGCTGTGGCCACTTCACTCGAATCACCATGGCTCTGATTTAGGCGAAACCGCCCATAATAAGGGTTTACAACAAACTTATGTAAGCTTATCAATAAAATATGATGCGAAAATTCTATTTGTTGTATCAAACTAACTAACAGAAAAAGTAAAGAAACTGCTAGGCAGAGCCACAGTTTCCGGATTTCTCACGATTGCTGATGTATGTCTTGCACTTTTTCTAATGACTTTCTTTTACTTGGAACGTCAAGATGTTAAGCGTATATCAGTGCTAGTGCTAAAACACTCATGTTGAACAATGTTATTAATTTCTTCGTTTGGAATTTACAAGAAATAGCGAAAGATTAGCATATCTGATTCCTCATGAACAACTTACAACAGCGACAGATTCCTTGGAGTAATCGCTTATATGTTGCACTTCCTGAGACTCTGCGTAATAGTTCTTCTCATATGAGGTAGAACGTGAAGCAGATTTAGTTTCTTTTGATGTCGGTGTTGGGATCGACGGCAGCTTCATACGAGTCGTTGGGGTCACTAGTTTTTCTGAACAGTTGCAATTTTAATGTTTGCAGTGTCCTAAACATTTTTCTTTTGATAGAGTAAACGTAAATCTCTTGCGGACCTCGTCTATTGGATATTTAAAAAGACAATCAACGTGCATAATAAAGAATAACTCAAATAATTTTTGTTCACGGAAGAACCGTCATTTTTTCCTTATTTATTTGCTCAAATATTTAGGCAACATTAAAATGCTAGATGAGAATGGCTTTTCGAATATGGTTCGATTTCAGCCAATGCCAGCTGCAGAAGTGCTTTAAGGAAGGATTTCCATCGTTGCACGCAGAAGAAAATACTGGAAGTAGCAGACAAAAGAAGCAGTCTGGAAAAATATCGTCGGTACTTTATAATGTTACGCTCTCAACCCCGAAGAACGAAGATGGGATGATCAAAACTTCCTGGAATTATGGCGTTAATAATGGAAACGTTCTACCCCAACGTTTTCCGTTCCACAATTCCCGCCCCGGACCTTAACACCCCGCTCGAGAAAAGCTACCTGGAATTCTTAGACTGGTGGTTCGAGTTGCGATAGAAAGCAGTAAAACAAGCATAACTCCAAGAACTGATAATATCACTGCCGATTTCCTTAAAGCTGGAAGCCACAATTTACACGTACTTCTTCCGAACCACAAGACAGCACAGCTTACCATTAAAAGGAAAAAGTTCCTAACCATTGGAGGACGTTGTGCACGGTCATCCTGACCGAGAAAAGTGACAGAAGGGATCCTCGTAACTACCGTCCGATATGTTTGTTGAGTGCCCACTACAAGATCTTCATGAAGGTTATCTTCTAGCGCATATAAAGTGCATTATACGAGGCGCTATCAGTGGATCACGCATGATTTCGACAAGGATTTTGCTGCAATAACCACAACCAAACTGTCTCCTGGGTCTTTGAAACTTGTCCAGAATACCACCTTCCTCTAGTCCAAACTTTTGTAAACTAGAAAAAAGCGTTCGACAACGTAGAAACGAATGCAATTCTATCGACGCTCATAGACCAAAGAGTAGACCCGTCCTACATAAGCACTCTGTATGACTGTTATCGGAACTGCACCCATGAGAATACAGCTTTTCCATCGATTTCTTACCATAGCCATAGAAAAGGGGTTCGACAAGGCAATAAATATCGCCATAGCTGTTTAGTGCTGCAGTGAATTGGATAATGAAGCCACTCGATTGGGATGAGAAAGGCATACATATTGATGGAAAATTCCTATCAAACCTTCGTTTCACCGACGAGATTGTCATTCTCTCAAGAAGTACCAGCGAAGAACAAACGGTTATCAATGAGCTCAATGAAGAGGAGATTGGAGTAAAAGACTGGACTATGCATAAATCGGAAGAAGATCCCGTTCATAAGAAACCCATGGTGCGAATGCAAACAAAGTGAGCTGGATGGTCCTCTGGTTTCAGGGGTCACTTCGTATGTATACCTTTGACGAACAATGAACATGGAAAACAACAACAAGGAGGAATTAGACAGAAGAAGGAAAGCAGCTTCGGCTGCGTTTGGGCCTCTCAAAGAAGCCAGCAACCGATAGAAAGACCCGAAAATCTGCACTCACCTTTTCGATTCAAACACTCTCCCAGCGATCTGTGATAGTGGGGAGAGGTGGGCTGATACTTCAACCACGCAAAGAATACTCCGCACTACTCACAGAGCGCTTGAGCGAAGTTTCCTGAAATATAACCAGCACTATGTATTCTTTCTTTGATGAAATATAACCAGCACTCTCAACATCAAGCCGGAATGCGAAGCTCTGATCTTCGAAACCTGTCACATCTTCGAGATCCAAGAGAATACACATCGATAAAGAAACACAGATGGGCCGGTCACATAATCAGAAGAACGGACGACAGATGGGCGAAAGAACTGTAGTAGAATGTAGAATGGACTCCACAAGAATCCAGGAGTCTCCTAGGACAGCCACCTACACGTTAGGTGGACGTATTCCTGATCAAAGTTAATCAGCTGCACTCGCAGCTGGACTTGTTTTACAGATCACGGTATGAGGCTCGCATGCGCCACAATGCTGGAGTAAAACCACCATCATAGACGACGATTTCGAGAGGAAGAAACGAGTGGTAAATATGCTGAGGTCTGCACAACTCGCGAAGATGGACTGTCTAACTATCCAAGTATCCAAGTACTTGTCTTTGCAATCTAATGGTACTCTGGATACCAAGCCAAAAATTGATTTATGCAATGGCAAGTCCAACGTGTTATTGCCATTTCTCGCTGTCATAAACAGTGAAAAAAGTATCATACAAAAGTGTGATTCCCTGATTGAACACAACCTACTACGCGGTTCTGATATGTGACATGTACGAAAGGAGACACAAATGATGTTCACTCTGGTTACTCGACGAGATCATTTTTGATGTAGGCGAAACAATACTTGTCTTCACTCAATTAAAACGGTACCAATGAAAGTAGAACGACGGAAACAACCCCAGTAGTCAATAAACCTTCAGAAAATTGGAAAAGGTGAAAGAAAATGATTATGTTAACACGCTGCAAATACTGGAACCAGAATATGGTTCACTTTCACAAAAAAATAAAATTCAATACAAAGATTATATTAAAACGAAGGAAATGAAGTAAAATTGAGCAGTTTATTAGCGACCTCTACCGTGCTCTATATTTTGTTCTGGCGTAGCGCTGTCCTCTTTTCGTTCACGTTTTCGTTCCACCATTGGCTGCTCATTCGCTGCCGTTCCAGCCGTTGTCTCGGTTTTCTCGTCAGATGAATTTATTGGCTGTTGAATTTTCGACAGTGGCTTTCCTCTAAAATATATCTACAAATTTTCATTAGTATGAAGAGAATAGCCTGGAAAAGGTTTACCACCACATCCTAGCAGGGACGTATTCCTGGGTGCCGGATTGCGAAGTGCAGCTGGAGAATTTTCCCCTTAGGAAGGTCTCGCAAGCAGAGAAAGAGTACGACCTCTCCATCCGAAAACCTAGTAAAGAGCAAACCAATACCAAAAGTCACCGCGGTCCTTGCATCAGGTTAGCCACAGGGTGGATGATGCCCCAGAACTGCAACAGCCAGCTACCGCCTGTGGCAGTGCCGCCCTGAGGAAGGGTTCGGATAGGCCAACCTTGGACTCCAGAGAACCACAATGGCTGAACCAGCAAAGCCCCACCCTCAGGACACCGCACAATTGGCGATACCGTCTGCGTGGTCGCACGGTGAGACAATAGGTGAAAGGCTACATAATCTCCGCTGGCACCGGATTGGGACGAACAAAACTAACACGACTATGTCACGCCAAGAAGACCGGTCCTTGATCTTGACGCTCTACTTAAAACCACTGGTCCCATTAAATTCCATGTAATCACCCTATAAGAGACGACGAATAATAACAACATAATTAATAACATAATAAACATAATAACATTATATGACGGGATCCTTGCAATTCGAGTTGGGAAAACTTGCTTAAGAAATGTCGGTGGTGGTGACATCGTCGCAAACCCATCCCTTTACACAAGGTTACCTCTTACGAGATCGTATGATATCACTTCGCCGTTCTTCATCTTCAACATCCATGTGAAGGGAAAGTCAATATCATCAACTGCTAACTACCAACCTGTCCAGCTAATGCCAACGTACTGGACCCGTTCTACAACCAGTCTCAAAGAGTACTCTGCAGCGGAAAGTTGTTCTATCAATCCGCTGTTGGAGACTTGAATGCCAGATAAGGAAATCCAATAAAAAATGATATAGGATAGGAAAATCCGAAATTGAATATCAATAAAGGAATAGAAACCGTCTTGTAAAACTTCTGTCGCAGCACATGCTCTCCACGGAGATTCATCCCTCTACGGGAAAAAAAACGCTTATAGACATAGGACTCATGCGTAGTTCGATCATCTTCTCACGAACAGAAAATGGCTCTCCTTTAACATCACAGTGATATCTGGATACTGTATTGAAACCGATCACGGCCTTCTCTTTGCGATGATTGAAATCCTCCATAAGCTGGGGAAAAAACTGCCATTGTCCAAGAAAAACAAGTCATACATGACCGGATTTTCTCAGTGCGATCCTCTCTTCACATAAATGGTAGACAAGGGAATGTCCGACTGAAGAGTACAAGCTACTTGTGAAAGAACTTAGAACTTGTGCCAAACTCGCCTCAGACGCTCAAACAATAAATTCAGAACGCATTTTTCTTACCAGTTAAGAGTTGCTCGAAAAGAGAAGGACACTGAACCTTCATCCTATTCCAACGCACTCAACACGCCTGATAATAAATGCCAACTCAAGACGACCTTTGAGGAAGGATTGATATCAGCAGAAGTAGAGAAGTTTGTTGGAAGCAACTCAAAAACTAGCCAGTCTGAAGAAGTGCCGTGGGGATCTCTGTGATGATAACGTTCCACTATCTGCTCTTATAAACGAAAATGTGACTATCACTACATTCTGCCATGATATATAATTAGTAACATTTTATACTATTCTCTAACCCTTCAAAACCAAGCCTCGGACCTTGAAATCGGCACTGGTGAAAAGGCAAGCGGAATTCCTCTCTCTGAAGTTTGAGTTGTGACAAAAAACATCGGGAAAGACGCAGGTTTCAAGACCCGATAACATTACCGCCTGCTTTCCTCGAGCTGTGAGTCAGAGACTCTATACATTCTGCTGCACGCACCACATCAAAATTGTGTCACGGTTAATACCCTAACCCTTGCCGACTGCGACAAACCACTTGACAGCGTCAAAGCGAATGCAACAATCCCATCAGCACTCATCGACCATGAAGTGGACCCGTCCTATACACGAACACTAACTGACTGCTTTGAGATTTGCAGCACAGATATGCTGTTATTCATCAACCCCTTACAATACCCACTGGAAAAAAGAGGGGGGAGTGCCAAAGCTGTTCACTATTGCATGGCCGTAAATAATGAAGTAACCCGATGAGGACAAGAAGTACATTGGCAGTTATGGAAAATTCCAATCAAATCCTCGATTTACTGACGATGCCGTCTTTTCAAGAAGTACTAACGAAGCAGAGACGCTGCTAAATAAGCTTAAGGAAGCGAGAAAAAAAATTAGACTGCGCATAAATAGGAAGAAAGCCTAGTTCATGAAGAACTAACTCGTGGTGCGAAGGTAAACAAAGTGAAATAAATGGTTTTCTGACTAAAGAGACCACTTCGCACATGTTTCTTGTACGTTCAATGAACAAGGAAAGCAATTTTCAACTTGACAGCCCACCCACCGCTCTATTATGCAGCAGAGAGGAGCCAAGGTCAAGAACTACAACCACATCGAGAAATCTGCTCATCACCTAAAGAGCGCTTGAATGATAACTTCCGAAATTTAACTGGTATTCACAACGTCTAGCCGGAATGCGCAGCTCAGATCTTGAAAACCTACCCCATCTTTGGGATCCAAAAGCATATACAACGATGACGAAACATAGATCGCCCGGTTACATAATTAGAAGAACAGATGACAGGTAGACAAAAAGAACAGTGGGATAGACTCCACGAGAACGCAAGCTCCTCATGGACGACCACCAAAACGATGGGAGGACACATTCGTGGCTAAAGTTAACTTTCTCCACCCATATATGGGAAAGGTTTCATGACTACAGAATGGGCCTCGCGGACGTCACTACCATGTTTGGAAGAGAAAACCACCATGGACGAAATGTGCTGGAATCCGCGCTACCGGTGAGGACGGGGCATCCAAGTGCCCTAGTAAGTAATTAATGGTAACTGATGTTTTGAAAAGGGTCTTCCGAAAAAAAATTGCTGAGACAGCATTTTCCAAATGAGCCTAAAAGTCAAGTAAGTATACAACTGAGTATGAACTGGATGAAATAAAAAGACAAAGCGTGCGATTATTCCTGAGGGTTGCACCATGCATTCGCCTTCATCAACCACAGTAGATAATTCGTTGGTGCCCTACACAATAATTTATGGTGGCCAACAGATCTACTAGGTTAATGCTCTCAAATAAGCTTGATATCAATCTGTCAACTCGAGAACGTTGGAACAAATGGTAAGTGTGGGGTGCAGCACCGAACCAGAAATCAATCCAAAGCGTGTTATAGGGCCTCTACAACCACTGCGCTACACGCGCCTTTGTCTTAGAAAAGATAAATGAAAACGGACTACCGTTCTATAGACGTTGAGCGCTCTTGATTCGTATTTCCATAAAATTGTACACCAGCTGAAGCCGATCGCTTATAACTTCGATTGTAACTGGAGAACTGTGGTGGCGCTGCTTTAGGTTGGTGAATTTCTACGAATAAACCGGCTGAAAGAAGACCCTGAGGTAATCTGAGACTATTCTGCAGTTAGTGATTAATATCTGATAGTGAACAACTCACCTTCTTCAATCCTCGCTTGTTGATGTTTGGACAACAAATGCCACGCCTCAGATTTCACCACTGATGCAGCATAGTGTAGTAAATGCTTGTCGATTAGTTCATAGATCCGACGCACCAACAGGAAGAATCTCTTAAAATACTTAATATTCTATTTGAAACAAGCAGCAGCATAGAAGTTTTTAGGAAAAGATGAATAAAATAAGAAAATAGCAAAAACACCAACCGGCCCGTATTCATCGACAGGAATCTTGAGAACATGACTCGGAGACGATGGTGCAGTATGAATTTGTTGTAACAAGTTGCCCAAACCTTTAAATGCCTTGATAGCTACATCTGCTGAGAGGTAGTGCACAACTGATGGAAGTAGTCCTTCCAAGACACCAAGATTGAGTGCTAGACCCTAAATTGACTCACCAACTTGCAGTGCTCTGAAGAGTGGTGTCGTCGCTGAACTGATTTTCGAAACCACTGAGCAAAAATTTAGACGATAAGGTTATATAAAGTTCCTAGTACCTATCTGCCCGCCAGTAAGGAACTTTGGGCGTTATGTGTTAGACAGCATATCGCAGCTTAGAGTGAGTTTCATTAATTGAATTTAGAACCATTAGAGATTACAGGTGACTATGACTCCAAGATGAAAGTTCTCACTCCGCAACAATTAAATTCTGATCTTGGAGCCCTCGAAACCTATCGTTTTTTGTCGAGGCTCGTAGAAGTGAATAAGCAAAAGCAATTCCATCCAGGAAAACACGATCGTATCCTTGAATGTATTATTAATGCTTGAGGTTTCTATGGCTTCGTCAGAATCTTCAAACAACTTAAACACTTGTGGAAATTAACAACAATTTTAATTTCATACGACTTCTCTTACAGTTATGTAGATCTATCAAGTTCTCAACTCCTGAAGCACTTTAATAGATGAAAAATTACCGTTACCCATCGAAAAACTAGCACAATTCTTCATGAAATATTATCATTATTTGCCCTTGTGATTACCTTTCCATGCTGTTGAAACGACTGGCTGGTGACGACCAAATGGAATGAATGAATGAGGAACTGCATAGCGACTTCAAATACATCGTCAACCATAAGCAGAACGGCCAAAGAGGATTCCGACTTCGATCGTGGAAGAGCAATCTCAAAGAAGATCTTCACATCAAATATTACCTATTTCATCAACAACTGTTGGGTGCAAAGGCGCTATTGGATTCGGATGAAGATTTAATGCAAAGATTCAAACCATACGAACAATAAACGAATAATACGCAGACAAACAATGAACAGTTCGGCGCAGGGAGTTCGTTACATACATTCCGTGAAAAAAAAACTGCAGTGTTTCCCAGTAACTATATGTGACATCTGAGGAAATTTTATACTTCTATGTATAGCTATATTTGGAGAATCCAGGAAAAGAAAGAGCGGATCAGAGTTATTAAGTTGCTAGATGTTGGGAACCCTGAAGTTGGGATATTGCAAATGCAATCTCAAATTCCAAAGACGTCCTGATCTACTGAAAAAGATAGACGACAGAACAACGACTGGTGTTGATAACGTTATCCATCACGAATGAAATTGAAAATTGGGTTTTTTTTGTAATAGTTCCCAGGATCGACTTTCTCTTAACCTCGGCATTGGAATATGAATGGGTATACCCTTCCAGGCTCTGAAGAAGGCGATACTGCCGAAACGTCAGCTAGCGTTGTATTGTATTGTGTTTTTTATGGAAGTAAATGTATGCTGTTTAAAAACCTCGCGATTGCTGAACAAGAAAACGACACATTGGGTTTTTTGTCATTGGGCTTAGAAGAGTATCTCACCCATTAAGGTATTTAACAGTATGACCTATTATTGCTCCAGAAAGAAAGTGAAATCAGTTTAAATATTAGCCATTATGAAATAAAGCAACATATTAGTAACCACGTGCAAGTTCTGCAAGAACGCAATAAGGCTGTATAAATGAAAATTCGATCTTAGAAAATGAATGTGGAGCACGTCACATTAAAGTCTGATGTTTTTCGTGTTAGTCGAATGAGAGAAACTGAAAGAGCTGTTCAGGCCCATATCATGAGATAATAGTGATAATGCTGATGTTCAAGTGGGTCACTCGCTGAAATTCGACGGCAGATGATGCAGATGATCACAAAATTCACTCCTAAGGCTAACAACTGCCACGGCAAGCTGACAGCTACGAAAAATTCCTCTCACTTCATCAGCTAGAGTCATTCAAAGAATAACGGAGGTTGTAAACTATCTATTGCAGTATCTATACTGCTACATCTCTCAACCACAACAATAAATGAAAAAACCCAAATGATTTATATTCCATGTGCACGAATAGCCACTTGAGAACTTGTAATCGCCTCAGTATGTGCTCATCATTTACATCATATAAACCTCAATTCCAAATCTTTCAAATCCTTATAAAGGTTTCAATTAAATATTAAAAAGTGCTCAGTTCGAAAGATTTTCGTCAACTGTTCTGCGTTGCCCATAAAATAATTGTGGCCAGTGACCTGTGAACATTCTCCCGCCAAAAGTAATACAAATAAAGGGTATAGTGTGATGCTGTTCGCGTCCTTCGCCGGTTGCTGAGTATTGCTTTCACATGGCAGGTATGAATACAGGCTTAGCATGCCACACATATTTATACACGGTAAACGTGCAATCAGCAACACCTAACATGTTATTGAGAGGGTGATGATGGCAGGATCCTTTCATTCAAATGAAGGACAAAATCTAGAGCTGCGATCAAAGTTGCCGATCGACAATTCGGGACGCAGTTGCGAACGGATGAGTCATGGAATGTCAGAGGCGATACATCATATACAATAGGAAGCCTTTTGACTCACAGTCGCCGAAGAACGTGCAGCTTCTCGCGCACCTTTTTGGACAGTAACAATTTGCTTATTAGCACGACTGATCAATATACATTGCATAAATCTTTGAACAATTTCCACTATGGTGGTATTTTCAAAGTAGTTTCCATTAAACGGGTATTTTGACGCCTTGTTTTGAATTCTGATTTCTTCAATAACTAGATTTCTACCGGTACGATCTACTTCTTAAAATATGTGGATTCAAGTGAAAAAGGAAAAAGCGGACACTGAAAGCAAAAGCTACGGTTTTGATCGCTTACCTGTAATCGCTCACATCCTAGTATAGTGTCAATCAGCGTTTCATCGTCCAGTTCCTGTATAACAGCCTCATAGCATTCCTTTTGCCATCTTTCATTAAGATGGCTGAATACACGACCTTTCCAAATTCGAGCAAAGTGTTTTGCTTGCCATGCTAATGCCTAAACGTTTTCCTATGAACAACAGCATATGTCACTGATCCGAACACTGAATAACTACAAACGTGAGTGTTTTATCTTCGATAGACAAGTACGTATAAATCGACGAACAGCGAAGTGAGCGCATTACGAGAATCGAAGACTTGAAACCGTAACTGGACTTGATATCCATGATTACGTTTGTGGCATACGCACTACTCTCCATGCGAATTGCTCTACCAAAGCATTCGAATTTTGCGGCATACTGAGTGGAATAGTACAGTAACAATAATTTCTAGCAGATGAAAAGCGTAATAATTTGTTGAACCTATCTATGGATCATCGTTGAAACCAACAACTACATACTGAACTAGTGCTCATATTCGCATCGTCGACAAAAAAAAATCAGAATTTTCCCAAAGAGGAAATCATTGTTTTCATCTCCATTGAGTGGAAAGGACCTGGAGTATGAAGTACGGCCAGAACATATCAAATGAATCTCTTCACGAGAAAGATTTGTGACTCTTATGAAGACAAACAAGACTCCTATAAACGAAGCAAAATCGTTTACGAAAGCGCTAGCACTAAAAATGTGGCCAATAACGTGCCTGCAAAGTCAAGGGTCATCGTGTTAGGAGGCATAACTCTCCCTGATGACGCGCGCTCGCTATTAGAATTGGATCGAAGTTTCTCACCCGCGCAACCCATTTCTAAAGAAACCTTGCGTAGGATAGCGTGCAGAGTGCACGAGCTCCAAGATCGACTCCAAAGCAACGCTAGAATTGAGACACGAAATAAAAAAGAACAACAAGAAATAGGATCACTACCACCACCTCCATTTCGTCGGTTATTCTTTAGACAGCAACACCCAAACGACGAAGCCGATATAAAATTTCGTATATTTCCGAACGAAACTCTCAAAGTCCTTAACCACTATCGCGCAAAAAGTTTAGTTCGAACCTTACAGCTGCGCAAAAATCTGGTTTGCTACAGGTTCGAAAGCTAATAAAACCAAAGACTATTAGACTATCAGTTAGTGATAAGAGTGGAGGGTTTGTCGTAATTCCTCGCCAGTTAGATGTCGATATAACGAAAAACACCTTGAAGACGCATCTCTTTATCGCGTATCTACTGAAAAGGAATTCAGAAGTCAAAATCGAAAATTGAACAACCAATTGGTCAAAATGGCAAGCGCAGCAGGTTTAAAACCAGCAGACATTTCGCATCTTAAGATCAAAATGCCGAGATGTCCCGTCTTACACTTACTTATCAAGGCCCATAAGTTAATCCCCGCTGATGACCTGGCGTCTACCGACCACTCAACCTTTAAGGTTAGACCTATGATCAGTTGTGTAGACGAGCCTAGGGATAGAATTGCTTGGTTTATAAACACGTCCCAAAAGCGTGCACGTTATAGAGTCGTTCGACTTTACCGTCCTTTACACTGTGTCGAAAGACTTCGCAATGCAAGCCATCCGCGAGCTTCTTGAGGAACATGAAGGAGCAATTAACATGTATGGCTTTTCGATTCAGCAGCCTATGGTCCTTCTAAAGGTCTGTTTAAACTGCTCGATCTTCAGATGGACCGGGAAATATTACGCACAAATTAGAGGGCTGTCAATGGGGCAGCGACTGGCATCAACCCTTGCCGTTGAGTTTTGCAAATATCTCAGCAACGTTGTGGTCGTATTTCGCTTACTGACATCTCTGTTCAATCGCATGCCCACCTCTACTCGTTGTGCATCGTTAGATTTCCAAAGCCAAGAATTTAACTGTTCCGTACTATCAAGTGTTACGAAGAGGTGGAAATCAAAATAAAAACAATACATAAGAGATATCCATTGAATGGAAAGAATGAGTTTTTTCTCAAACTCTATGGAAAACCTCTTTATAAAGCGATTTCAGGCATCGTATAGAACCCAGCTGCGGTAGAATGTCGAATACGGCTGACACGCATGAAGCACAGGGCTTGAAAGAAATATATCTTCAAACTGCGCAATCATATTTTGATTTAGTCTTAACTTTACATAAAACATATTACAACGAAAAATCTAATCACGTACTCGATGAAACCAATGACATCGTGTAGCCTTTAAATGAAGAATCACAACGTCAGCAAGATCCTTATGATTGAGGTGCGTTGCAAGAGCAATGACTTCCCATATATCAACCTGAAAAAACCCGAAATAAACATTGTGAATACCAATACTACCTCGGGCAATTACCTAAAGCTTTGCCTTCCCTCAATACTTAGCTAAATTTTTCCAAGTACAACATCAGAGAACAGCGGATAGCGTAGCGGTTGTGATGCCGTTTAATATGCGCAAGATCCAGGCTCGACCTTGCCAAAATCAAATACGGCTCTCTTCCCTCAGGAACGGGATATTGGTACTAGACGTGTATGGGAACAGCTCGCTCCTTCCAATCGACAAGTGCTGGCGACTTCCTTTTATGAAGATATGCGGAGCTTCCTACAGGCTATCCCAGAATTCTAAGGAGAATTCATTCTACCAGCATTCGACGACATTCTGACCAAAACTCTTCATGCAACAGCCGAACCCGCATGCACGCAAAAATTCGAGGTTTCATGGAATGTAGATACGAGGAGACGAATAGTGTGCAAGAAGTGCTTGGATTCGCAAAACGAGTGACGCAGGGTCATATAAAACTTTTCAAAAAGGTAACAAAGTTCATGGCACAACTATGTGGGCAAAAATTCATGAACGTAAATCAGAAGAGGTGGAAGCAGGCTATCGGGCAGAGGCATGTACAAATAAACAAAACTAACCTCATCAGGAATCGAAGTTAGGCCACCGTAAAGAAATGTGAGAAGGAAGTGGATCGCATTTCGTGAATAACTAATAAGAATATTATAAAAGGGAAAAATGACAGGAACTGATGAGAAAGGAATTACCAAAATAATCACCCTTTCATTTCTATTCGTTTTGATTTCTGAAGTTGTTGTCGGAAGAAAGGACAAGTAGCAGAAAGTATACACCTAAAATGCTGTAGTTCGCATGCTACATCCCGGAAAGAAATGAACAAGAAGATAAAAAAGTAAGTCGACGAGTCTTTTAAAATGAGTACTTGTGAACACAAAGCGGAAAACGTCGTGCTTCAAGCTCTACTCTATGTCATTCCATTTTCCGAAGAAAAAAAAAGTCATATTGACATTAATTCTCGATCGATGAAGCATTCTTTGCAGTAGAAATAGCTTTCATAGCTACGAAATAATTTTTTACCCATTCCTGAATTGTTTCCGGATTTATTCTTATCCTGAACAGAATGTGCTCGAATGTGTTCGTATATTACGACTTTTTAAAAATATTTTTTGTACTACCCATCCTCACGTCTACTGCGCGGAACTCAACAAGCAGTTCCTGTTTTTGATTCGCTCCCTCACATCCATCATCCACGAAAGTCTTCGCACTCTTTCCGTGTGGATTTGGTTGGTGCTTGAGTACTGTGGTTTTCTTCATATCAGCTGATGCTGGTCGAACAGATTCTCCATAGAATTCTACGACAGCCGTAATAGGAAGTTCTCAATTGTTTGAAGGACGTGTTACTCCCAGTCAAGTCTGGTGTCAATTTCCCAGCCCCAGATTTATGAGAGGTTTGGTGAGCTCGGAACGGTTTCGAACCATTACCGTATTCGGCTTCAATTATGAATGATCACTAACATCAAGAACATTGCCGGAAACTCCAAAAACAAGTTAGAGAAAATAACGATATGGAAACAAAATATTGTCGCTTATTTGTTTCAGTTCCCATGTAGAAGGGCGCGCTTCACTGGATGAACTCTCGTGATCACCGAATTTCCAATGCAATAATGTAACACTCTCATACTTTATACTTTAAACGAATACCAAATTAAACCATAATAATTTTAGTAGAAATTTCTCAATAGATATGACCGTACACAATAAATCTTGAAAGTCAAACATACTTGTGTGCATGTAAATCACCGCTTTCCGTTCGAATAACGACATCAGTGTCTTGGTTGCTGAGGTACATCTGCATCAGGTCTAAGGCAAGTCGACTGCATGGTACACGATCCGACTGAACTATTTGAGCTGAAATAATAGTCGCCTTATTCAGAACCCACAACAACTTTGGTTAAAAACTTTAACTGGTCAACCAAAAAAGCATTCGTTCAACAAAAAACAATTAACCACAATTTTCCGTGTTCACCTAGCCGAATGATGAAATTTGGTTTGGATGGGAACCGCTTGCACGAGTTAACTGGTGAACAAACTCGTGATTTACTCCATTACAAAGAAAAAGCGTTAAAAATTCAATAATCGCACAAAATGAATAATTGGGGAACGAAGCCAAAAAAACTTCTAGAAAATTAATGAGGTTAGGAACAGTTCTAGGTAAACCGCATGACTTAGCATGAAGTAACGAACCTCGGAGGTGACCGGAAATTCTGATATGGTAGGAAGAGAATAGTGAATAGGTCAAACAAGATTGGTTTCTCTTTGATCCTGATCATGAGAATAACAATTTTTGTAAGTCGATTTCACCATAACGAGGTGACGAAGGAATTTTGATTTCACACTCTGAACAGCATCATGAAATGCTTTTCCAAGTCAAAACTAACCTTCAGACGGCGTCATATCGATGCTATTCAATGACGTTAACGATGTCATTGACAATCGTTTTGTCATGATTACTCGTCCACCACGAGGGATACCTGCGACCACTGTTCTAGCCAGGTCATCGTCCTCCAACCCGATGAACATTGGAAAAATTTGCTTTGTTCCTGAGATGCAAAAATTGCTTGTTCATTCACACATTCAACCGTACGTTGGTTTTCATATTTAGTATATAATCTTTTAGTAACAAATTTTACACTCACATTGGTTAAACGAAGCAGTTTTACATATGAAGAAATAGCATATACCAACAAATCTACTCGAAATAAGGTCAGTGTTCTTAAAAAGCAACGCATCCACACTAACGTTCACGTGATCGCTTTCGTTCCATAAACTCTTTTTGAATGTCCCTTGGTTCGTCTTGATTGAGTCGAATGAACTTGCTCATCGAGACTAAATAATTGACCTATCGACGAGAATATTCGGTTAATGATATCATATGTGAGCTCTTCACGATCTGAAGAAAATAGCGCTTAATGTTTTTTCTGCTAGTTTAGGAGTAACATTATATATCACGCACCTTCTCTACTATGCCGTCGTTCTATACGCACGTTTTCGCCTTCTTCGGGTATATCAGTGACCTCGCTCCTTCCACCAAGAGAATAGGCTGAGCTTGACATTGGTGAGCCGGTCGCCAGGTCTCTGAAAGACGTCATCACTGGAGCCGACGACGTCATCAGGTCTGAAGACGTTGTCGTAATTCCGGGCGATACTCGATGATAGGCTGTGGACGCTGGTGTTGTAAGTGCCGAAGTTGAATATGAAGGCGTAGATGATGACGTTAGTCGACGAGGAGAAGGTGGATTACTCTAAAACTTTGATGGCCTTTAAAGTTTGTAAGCAGATAAAACGAATTCCAACGCGAAAGCTCACTCCGGACGCGAGGAAATCACAGAGGGGTGGTTGTCCGGAGGTTGGAGTCTCTTCTTCAAACGACCTGAACATGCGAATCAGAAATGATCATATTTCGAGAACATCTACATAAAATAAACAAAATTCGGTTCCCATGTCTGATCTTTCCATCTTTACACATATACTTTCGCAAGCCTCATTTCACATGTAGCGATATTTGCATGGTTTTGCACACTTAATAAAATGAACACAATAATAAATAGCCGAGCTAAAATCACAGTGGTCAAACCTATCATCCACCCCTCTCTGGTGAAAATCCAACTCGTTTGTGGATTCATCCATTACAGGCGATCGGTTAGGAACACAAGATGATTTGCCTAAACAGGATCAGAAATTATAGCAAAAATGCCCTCAATTTGTATAAAGTGGATTTTTATCATTTTATAGTACAAGAAGCCAGTGACTGGAAAAGTATAAAGTGCTTTTAGTGGTACTGGGTCAGTCCATAGGAACACAGGTTTAAATGAATTAACGAGGCAGACTGTACTCTTCCAAAAAATCTCACTAAACCACGTACTATAAGTGAGCAAAACGCTGTGAAGTAGGAACTGAATAAAAATTTTGAACGATAACTATAAAAATTAGATGTAAATGCATTGATAGTGATCGCAACAAAATGCTACCAACAAACCTACATTTATCTAGGATGCTCGAATTTTTTCTCTTTTCCATAGCAGAGGAACGGTTACCACAAACTATAACTATGTCCATGATGATTGAAAGATTGAAAAGTAGTTGAGGAATTTCTTGAAAATGTGATGACAAAACTTGACTCCATCTTTTCCAACATCTACTTTCAGTACTTGCAAAGACCTTGAGCACTTTTCTATGTATACGTCTGCATCTACTATTTAGTTTTGCATGACCCGTCATAACATCTACTGTGAGGATCTCAACACTTCTTACGTTCGAGTGAATGTCGTAGAATGTCGGTCGAACCGATTCTCCTTGCAAACTAGGAGACACCCGGACTAAGGTTTCCCAAGTGGACTGGAGGAGAGCGTTGGGGCAGGGATGAAACTAGTGCCTTTGCTTCCTAATCGATGGCATCAACCACAAAGCAATCCCGTTTCCTTAGTTTGTATCCAACAATGAAATTCAGGGGAACGAGTGAGTTGAAAGGAACAGCGACTGAAAACTGCGATTACACCAATGACAATGTTCTATTGCAGAATTTTAAAATTACGCAATTTTTACGTTTTTGAAATTTAGCGTACAAACTTTTGCACTATACTATTGTTATATGACATATCTTTTTGAAACTGCTAGCTTTCAATGTTAACTTTCTCATCCTAATGATTATATAAGTGAGTTTACCCAAGATCAACATCGCAACTGGACTTTCCTTTGCTTCGTACTGAGTCACCTTTTGCTGTCGAGTTTTGTCGCATCTATGCTGATCTTGGATTCAAAAGACATCTGTTAAATGGCGATTATCATGCGGTTTATTCGACTAAATGATAGGGATACCACCATCGAAAACAAATCCCGCTCTGGCAAAGTAACTGCGTTAGTAGTGGAAGTATTTAATAAAGACGTGATCTTACTGCGTACTTAATGCGCTCAAGTATGAAGTGCCCTATACCTGCACGTGAGATAGACTAAACTAGACAATAAGCAAAGTTCTGATGTTCCAGCAATGGCCAATCTACTTCTTGTCGAAGAAAAAGTGCAAAGTTGGTGCTTAAATCAGAACACAACTTAATATACAATCTACAAAGAAAAGCGTTAATGGCTTAGGTACTGCGAGCGAAAGTGTACATCATACCCTAATTTTTCCAACAAGTTGCAATGCATTGGATCAGCACAGGATACGGTACTCGAGGTGAAAGGTAATTTTTACGGCACGATGGTCGGCGTTTGACAACAAAAATAAGAAACATTTTCCACCAAGCACCACTAGCACCTAACTGAGGTGGTACTATGATCAAATGAATAGACTGAATGTAGCGCTCGATTAAACCGACTACTATTAACAGAAAGGGATCGACTAATTTATGGAGTATAGAATAAGGAAGGAGATCAAATGAAACGGAAGGAGAAAAGAAGAAGCGAGAAGAAAAGCTAACGAAAAAAGTGAGCGATGAGCAGTAAAAATAGGGAAAAAGTAAGATTATAAAAGCACGAAGCACCAATACAAACCAGAGGAATGCATAGTATGGAACTGGAAAAGTAAGATGTTACTTAAGCCAGTACACAGGATCAAATCAAAACTGGAACTTCACTTTAGTGGAAAAGACTTTGTGGAACAGAAATTTGAAAAAAAAAGTAGACGGAAAGAAACAACCAAGGCTAAAAAGAAAGCAATTGAAGAAAATGCAAAAAAAAAATCACTGACATCCTTTCTGTTTGGAGAAAAATGAAAATCGAGACGATAGAAGACGCGACATGTGAATACCAACGAATCCTGGGGTAAATTCACAAAACCACTGGTAACCACCGAGGGAAATTTCAAAGAAGAACATATGAGCTGATAATTGATAAATGGAAACGTTGAAATGAATTCAGTTCACACTTATATTATTTATTCACTAGGGACTTTATTTGAAAACTGCTCACAGCGTTCCTCGTCGATATTATTCGGAAACTGTGCAATCTCATCTTCTGTATACACGGAATGTATAAAGAATTCCAATCCAGACGAGTCAACATCTCCAATGGCGACCTAAATACCGACAGCACATGAATAATGTGCTAACAGCAATCGAACTGTTTTTCTTTTTTGAACGCTTACAAACACGTTCAGCATGAAAATCCTGGACATTCTACTTCATCAAGAGGTATTTAACATAATACTTTTCAAAAAATATAAATTTCATCAGTGACTTAGAAATCGTATACTGCAGTGGTTAGACGTGTCCTGAAATATACACTAGATCGGTCGCTAGTTCGATTCAACGCCAAGGGCTCAGTAAGGTATCCATTCCTCCAGGAGCCCTGGGACAAGTTAGTAGCAAACCTACTTGGGAGAATAAAAACAGTAACTTGATCATTCAGTGTTTTTTATGAGAAAATACGAGATCCTTCCTTTATTCTTTATTTATGAACAAGTTGATATTTCGGAGGATTTCGCCTATTTTAGAGCATGAGAAGGTCAAGTTGATTGGAATATAGCCAGCCAAACACCTCCATAGCAAAAAACAAAAAACACTAGAGCAAGATTTCAATCGTACTGAAAACAAACTGAGTACGAGTAAGTGAGGACCAACCGCATAGAGTTCATATGAAAGCGTAATGTACCACTCTCCCATAAAAATACCTGTCTTAAATACTGTGTGAGAGCACGCCTGTTTACGAGGCATATATCCTTGCTGTTCATTTTCAGATTCTTGGCGCTCATCCAGAATCTCCCACGACCGACTTTCTATTAACCTCGGCATTGATCAAGTAATTCTTTGTATTCTTGTTGAGCAAACGCGACGTGTTATTTTTATTCTTTATTAACGATTAAACCGACGTAAGCTATTTTATTTGAATAAGTGCAGCTATAAAGCGCTGTTTAAGAAGGGCGGGTTTAGAGAATTCGGTAAACAGTTGAAACCACCGAGTAATCTTAGGCGCCAGCTAGTTCGTAACCGCCTGCATGACCGTCTATGTGCAACGCAAAATTGCATAATGTGCCCCAATGGTAGAGACGGTGATTGCATGGGCTCGGGTATAGTTTATCTGATCTCCTGTAAAGCGTGCGGAGACGAATACATTGGCGAGACGAGCAGACCTCTCTGTGTCCGCATAGAAGAACACCTAGCCAGCAAACGTCAACCAAATAGCCCACTAGGCACGCATAGAACCCAGAGACATAACGGGGAGGAATTTGAAGTACGTGTCACGATCCTTGCACAAGAATCGAAACACAAGCGCACAAAACTCTCGAGGCATTCTGGATTAATTCCAGAAATCCGAAAATGAACCCCAGTGAAGAATGCCTCATTATCACGCGTGATATTGTGCAGTATATAAACCTGTTATTCTGATTGGAAGTGCACATTACGCTTCCATGTGAATTCTGTGCGGTTGATCTTCACGCGACATACTCAGTGGAAGTTTCATAGAAAGCGGTGAGGGTGCAAAGCTGTGTTCAATGTGATTGAAGTCTTGTTTTAGCGTTTTCTCTGTTTGGTTATGGAGGTGTTTAGCCGAATAGATTGCTGTTAACTTGACCTTTCCAGGCTTTAAGGAAGACGAAATCCGCCGAAACGTCAGCTTAATCGTGAACAAAGAATAAAAATAACACCTCGTGTTTGCTCAACAAGAATACGAAGAATTACTAATCCAGAATGCTTTGAGAGCTTTGCGCGTGGCAGTGTTTGATTCCTGTGCAAGGATAACAACTTCTACTCCAAAATCTATCCCATTACAACTCTGTATCCTGGGCGCAACTAGTGGAGTATTTCATCCAATTTTAAGTTTACCGACTAGGTCTTCTCCTATACGGACGCAGAGTGGTCTACCGTCTCGCCAATGTATTCGGCCCCGCACGCCTTACAAGAGATCGGTTAAACTGTACCCAACTCATGCAATCACCGTCCCTAGCAGACATGTATGCAATTTTGTGTTGTGCACAGAAGCACATACAGCCGGTTGGGAACCAGCAAGCGTCTTAGAGTGCTCAATGGTATTTCAATCACTGTTGCCGAATTCTAGAGACCTACCCTTCTTAAGCACCGTTTTATAACTGCGCAGATTTGGTTTGAAATGAACGGCAGTATAAATGGGACGATATTACTGGCAGAGCCAACGTTTGGGGGCTTGGGTTTTCCTCTGCCTCTGTCCCAAGAAACTACAGTCTTCTAGCCATTTGAAATAGACATTTGCTGCGCTAATTTTTACGAATCCCCTTCTACTTTCTTCCAGTATACACGTTGGCGGTTAATCGTAACATGTTTCTCACAACCGCATTTTTTGTGCGTGAAGGGTAAAATGAGAGGTAATAAACCAGTATATATTTACTGATTGGCTTTCGGTACCAATTCGTAATGAAATCGTTTTGGGATAGGTTAATTTCAACGTTCAGAAGTAGAAGTCAGTAAGTGACAAAGCAATCACCTACATATCTACAGTACAGTGATATCCGGTGATCAATTCCTGGTGTTCCCACCTTAAACATAAATGCAATGGCACGGTTTGGTATCAGCCCTGAACTACTGCCAAGGCTCTAAAATTTGCGTAATATTTTCCAGAACATATTGAGCAGCTCAGGCGCCCCTTCAAGAAAGCCATCAGCTGCTGAATTGAGTAGCCATAGATCTCTATTCCTCCCAACGGTTTACTGCCTCATCGTGGGTGGGAGATTTTATGGGTGTCGCACTGCGATGTACAGCGGGGGAATTCATCCTTCCGGCAGAGCCTCCCAAGCTGAAAAGAATCCCGGCGCTTGCATTAGGAAGCCCAACTAAGAGTAAATCGATACCAGGACATAACACTGTCCTGGTATAGAGCTAGTTACATGGTGGCAAATCACCCTCTGATCCACAATGGCGGCGACTGCCTTTGGTGATGACGACTTGCGATAGACTTTGGTTAAGCTGACTTCGGGACTCCAGGAAACCACAGTGGCTAAACCAGCATGACTGTGAAAAAATGGAAATTTTGATGTAGATCGTAGCATCAGTGACGACGGGCCATCCATGTATCAGACTAACTAAGTAGATGTCTATCGCTCGCTCGTTTTGCATACGAAATTCGAGGGTGGCTTTCATCGCGGAATCATATTCGACACTTTAGTATCAAAGGTGGTAACGTCGAATGATTTCATCACATGTGTCCTTTTAGGGCACGCCTTACGGTATTAGGGTTAAAAACTATATTGTTCCATCCGTTGGCCCTTCAACAGAGCTAGTGACAAGTTCGATAATTTTGAAGTGCCTGCCAGGATTCCAACCAGGAATCAAAAAACATCAATGCACAAGACTCCCTAGACGTTTTGGAAAAATCTTAAAAGTCCAAAGATGAACCGAAAAGACGAACGCCTCATTATCACAAGTGAACTGGCGCCTTTTTTTGAAATTGATTCTTTGACATAGGTCTCACTCATCATACCACGGGCACAACACACGGGTGGTCCCACGCCATACAAAACGAAGGGTAGTTTTTGAACAAAACGGCGTTTATTTATATGCTAGATCTTCAATAATACTATTGATATTTCATCGAATTATAAGGCTACTGTTATATAAAATACGTCCAGGCTCCGAAGAAGGCGATGATATCAGAAGGACAGCTGTCGAACAACAGCAGCAACAACAACAACTACTACTACTTCTTATACCAATCTAGCACCGGCACAAAGTGGACAGTTCGCAAGAATATATATACATATATCGATTATTCATGCCTAGCCCAGAAAGTCGGTTTTCTTAATTATTAAGACGCTGAGATATTTGCAAAATTCAAACTTCATCCTACCAACTGATAATTTAAAAAGTAGGAAGATAATGTTAACTTTTTATTTACTGCCTACTGCAATTTTTCACGGCAGTGGACGAATCCTGTTGATAGGCGATTACTGATGGCACTGGTAGACAGAAAATTACCTGAAAGAAAGGCGAAACGAAGGACCCGCATGGTTAGGTGCTGAGCGCGTTAGACCCCGGAAAGGGTAATAGCGTGTTCGATCCCCACCGTCAACACCTGCGGTTTGGAGTTTCGCAAATATCTCAGCATCATTGTGTAAGGAAATAGTTCTATGTGTCAAAATAAACCACCGAAAAGAAAATAAGACCTATAGGTGCTTTACCGACCACTTCAGGAAAACCATTATGATAACTATAAGTTAACTCGTCACAAGAGTATTAGTGGAGTCGGACACACGGCGTGTCATTCAGAGACTGACCAAGACCAACAGCTTCATCCATTTTCCTCTACCTAAGGCTTGTTTTCGAGAGTGATTTAAAGTCAAGAAAACTTTCGATTGAATTCTGGGGTTTCTCGATCGATTTCTGTACTAAAGTTGTGAAACATTACTATTATGTCGCAATGAACAGAGCACTGGAAGTCAGGCTCTTTAATGCCGTCACTGAGTTTCCACGCTGCATTACTTATAAAACACAAACAGCTGACTTTTAGTGGATTCTAATAGAAAAGCAATATCAAACATTACAGACTTTCAGTGATAAGCATATTACTTTCAGATCGAACTAGATACCACAGCTGCTGTGCATTCGTATAATTTCCGCATGTTTATTAATGAAACCTAACCTCTCGCAAACGTCCCTCTTGTCGACCCATCGCAGCTACGGTCGCCTCCACATGACGCTGATAGAAACCGGGAGCTCGAGTTCGTAGAATGCATTCGTGTGCAGGAAGCTTTCGGCCATCTGCAGCCACCAGAAGTAAGTCCGCATTTTCCATGTTACCAACCTGTTATGAAAAATTTTCGGTTAGAAACTGATCCTTTACATTATAATACCATGGTGGCTTTAAGT